GCCTTTGCGAAGAACTGCAAGGGTTTGAAGAAGCTTTCATGTGGATCTTGCACTTTTGGGTCCAAAGGGATGAACGCAGTGCTCGATAATTGTCCGTCTCTCGAAGAATTATCAGTGAAGCGTCTCCGCGGAATTACCGATGCAGCTGCTGCTGAGGCGATTGGACCCGGTGTTGCAGCTTCATCCCTCAAAACTATTTGCTTAAAGGAGCTTTACAATGGGCAGTGTTTTGGGTCTCTTATTCTCGGCTCAAAGAATCTAAGGACTTTGAAGCTTTTCAGGTGCTCTGGTGATTGGGATAAACTTTTTCAACTTCTAGCTGACGGAGTGCCAAGCATGGTCGAAATCCACCTTGAGAGGCTTCAGATTGGTGATATTGGCTTGGTGGCAATCTCGAACTGTTCGAATCTAGAAATATTGCATCTTGTCAAGACCCCTGAGTGCACAGACTTAGGGCTTACTGCCATTGCGGATCGGTGTAAGCTCCTACGTAAACTTCATATCGATGGATGGAAAGCGAATCGTATAGGTGATGAAGGTTTGATGGCAGTTGCTAGATGTTGCCCTAATCTTCAAGAACTGGTCCTTATTGGTGTTAATCCCACTAAAGCGAGCTTGGAAATGCTGGCATCCAATTGCCATAATCTAGAGAGATTGGCCTTATGTGGAAGTGATACAGTCGGTGATGGTGAGATATCTTGCATCGCAGCAAAATGTATAGCCCTGAAGAAACTCTGTATCAAGAGTTGCCCTGTCTCTGATCATGGCATGGAAGCACTAGCTAATGGATGCCCAAATTTAGTGAAAGTGAAGGTTAAGAAGTGCAAGGGGGTAACACTTGAAGGTGCAGATTGGTTAAGATTAAGCAGGGCTTCACTTGCTGTTAATTTAGATACTGGCGAAACTGAACATCAGGATGCAGGTGCTAGTGATGGTGCAATGCAGGATAACGCTGTAGAACTTCCATCAATCCCCAGTCAAGCAGCAGCATCAGCCACTATTGCATCAAGCAGTTCTGGTCGATCTACTTCATTCAAGTCAAGGTTAGGACTTTTGTCTGGGAAGAGTTTAGTGGCTTGCACTTTAAGAAGGTGGGCAAGTGGCAATAGTAGTTCCCGGCATGTTTAAACTTTAAAGCAGAAACTTGAAAAATATGCCAAAGGAAAAGCAATTCTAGCCTTTGTTCAATTTCATCATTGTGTTGGATCATCACTTGATTTTTCTCTTTTGTTATATTTAAATTTTAAATCACGCTGTGTGCTGTTGATTGTTTTTTAAGTTGAATCTTCACAGCTGGAAGTGTCAATGGCATTTTTTACTCCCAAATTTCTTTGGTGGCTGGTGCTACCCAAGGATGGTGCATCTTATCAATTACTGCCCTCTTTGCCAATGAGGTTGAGGCTGATCGATGTCTTGAAGTGTTACATTACTACAACTTGTTAAATGTTTTGTATCTAATGGGAGAAGATATACTTTCTTTTAAATTCGTTGACTTTTTCACGGGTGACAAGAATTGTTGGTAAAAATTATCACAGGCCGTAGCCGTTAGATGCTCTATCAAATTCATGTGGCAATCTGTTTTTTGTGTTATTACTTATTTTCTTTGTAATAGTTTGTTTGGGTTTCTTCTTTTGGTCGAAAATTATTCGGTTATTTTCAATGCAATTGATATCCTGTACGATTAACAGATCATTTTTACTTGAGGATGGCATGACTTGCTTTCCCAAGCTGAAGGTGGCATTTATTAAAATCGATGTTCAGTTGGAAAGATACAAGGCGATAGCTGGACTATTATTATTGTTTGATATAACCTACCTACCTCCTTTTCTTCTTATTTTGCTGGCTGGCCTTAAACCTACCCTCCTCCTTTGTTTCCCCATTTTATTCTATGGCTTGTTTGGATCAAAATGGAATCACTGTATTTGGGATTGGGGCCTGGAGATGTCAAGGTATTTTTAGATGTGACTCAAATTAATAATGCGTTTACTTTCTGGCTATACTTATGAATTGGGGCCTGGGGCACCTGTACTTGTTTCAGTACCAATTTAATATGAGTAGCGGGATTGCTAATTGCTAAATATTGGTATTTAAGACACTTGGAAACCTTACGATCACAGCTCACAGGTTATTGGTTGGGCAATACTCAACTTGTTTGATCACTCGATTGATATGTGGACTATGGATATTTGGCATTCTTCATTTTGACGTGGCTTCCATCTGTCAAGTACTTGTTCAACCTACTTGAAAGCTGTAACTTGTAATAGTCAAATTTGATGGGCCCTTGAAATGGATGCTAATAGCAGGCAAAATAACCGATAACTAATGACCCTTTCTGTTTGGCTGAGCTAACATCAAGAGTACATATTCCGCTATTGTTAAAGGTGACGTCCGACTGGGCAGGCTCTCCAAATGTTGTCATGAATGCGCACGTATTTTGTTGAAAAAATCATGTCTCAAAATTTTTTATATCAAATTATTTGTAGGGTTAAAGGGTATTTTTTTCCCTATGCTTTCTTTTGAGTGATATTAAGTACCTTGTACCATTAAGTGAGGTATTTTTACCCTTGTATAATTTTACATAGAAGTAAATTTTCCCTACCGTCAGTCAACCATGGTCTCATGGTTTTTCCTTACGTGGTTGGTTTGTGAGGCTCACTCTTGTGACACTTAGGCCGTTTGACCATCAATTTGACCATGTGTCTTTGCTCTTCTTATGAGATAATTGGATGAACCCTCTTCGTCCTCCCCCCCCTCTCGTTTTCCAGCTCTTGCTTATCTCGATGCTGTTCTTGAATATCTCCCATTTGATTTCAAATCTAGAATTTTAAATTTGAATTTGAATTTTACTTGGTTCGATCCTTATGTTGTATATATGGAATTCAAGTTCTTGAGTTGGCAGGAAACTCTGCAAGAGATGACGAGAAGACTCATATTCCCTTAGTCATACCCATTGTACAAAAATTAAAGCACATTAAGTTCAACAATGTTGAAGAAGCTTCAAAAGTTAATTGACTAGAAAAGAAGAAGCTTCAAAAGTTAATTGACTAGAAAATGAAGGTTTGGAAATTCTTTCAGTGTTGTTTCTCCAAGCTCAAAAACCCTTGTCCCCAAATCCACCCTTCTTCTTCCTTCACCCTAATCCTCTCAGGTTGCAACCAAGACCCATTCCATTGCAATCGTTAGAGGAAATAACACAGTTATGCTATTAGACATCGATTGCTTCCTCTTCAAGAATTTCAACTCTCTGTTCTTACATGATGAAGAACCCATAAACTAGTCAAATTGTGTCCTTATAAGTGGATTGATGATTTTGATTGAAGGGAAACACACACACACACACACATTATAGAGAGAGAGAGAGATTTAGAAAATCTTTGTTTCTACGTAGTTTTAGGAGAAAATTAAAGAGATCCGTGATCAGGACCCATTTCATTCGACCCGACTTCACTAGATATTCTCGATGGCTGCGAGGAGACTTCCAGTTCTTGTGAGAGTGTTGTTGTCTTGGCATGCCAACATGAGGATCTTCGGCTATCTATGAAAGAAATGATAGACCACATAGCCTGTCCAACTGGTTATCAGGAACCATGAAGAGATTAGGAGCGACTCTTAAATTTAGGTCTTTTGAAAGAACAAGTTTCTCATATATGGATTTTTAGAGTACAAACCATGAACCTAGAAATTGAGGAAGAAGAAGAAGAACGAGGAGGGTCAAATTGGTAGTTAAACAACCTTAGTGTCACCAAAGTAGGCCCCATAAACCAACTACGTAAGCAAAAAATAGGAGAGATCACAATTGATTAATGAAAGGGAAAAATTGCTCCTATGTAAAATTGTACACGGGTAGAAATACCTCACTTAATGATACAAGATACCTAACACTCCTCAAATAAAAGTACAATTATAAAAATGCTCTTTAACCCATTATTTATAATTTACTAGGCTAAAAAAAAGTTCTTAATATCTTCATCCTTTTTTTTTTTTTATTAAATCATGACCAGAGCATGAACGTTACAAGTATGTAATTTTCTTTAATTAGCGTATACATTTATCACATCATTTAAAAAATTATACACTGATTTTAAAAAGAAAAGCTAATAGCACAAATTTAGTTATCTGCTTTTATAGAAATTGTAATTTTAGGTGCTGGCCAATACATACATACATACATATACATACACACACACATAGAGAAAAAACAATTATCAATCTCTATAATTTTGTTGATTTTTTTTTTTGAATTCTTGTAGTTTTTTTTAAATACTTTTAATCCTCATAATTTTAACAAAATTAACTGACATTTGTCACTCAAATCCCTATAGTTGCCGTGCTTTTAATGATTTCAATTTCTATAAGGACTAAAAACATTAGGAAAAAAATTTCAAGGATTACAAGTAAAACCCAATAAAATTATAAGAATTAATGATTATGTTTTCAATATTCACACATAATTCTAGGTAACATGTTTTTAATCAAACTCGCTGTGATGGCCATGGCCTGTGTGGTATAATATGAGGGTAGGTTCAGGTGTGGAGGATCTGGCGTGCAGAGAGTTTAATCAGACTCGCAATGAAGTGTGCAGGCCTGCCCAAATAACTTTTGCACAAATTGGGGATATTTCCGATAAAGCTATTTTGCCATCTATCAAACACAGTGAATATGTTTTTCATCACTATTTTTTTTTTAATTTCTTTAAAGAACTTTCCATATACTAATCGCACCATAAGCGTGGTCTAAATTTACATGTCACCCACAATGGGTACATGGTCATCTAAAATCAGAAACACTGTTGAGCCTTTCATCTGCCAAGCGTGCATATGCCAGGAAGTTGGAAACAGAGCATGGGAGGGGCAGTAATGGTAAAATATCAAAGCAAAACACAATGTTGAACGCAGATACAGGACCCGAATGGGCTGCCACAAAGAACTTTTGTGTTCATTTTATTATATAAAAAATAAATACGATAACTGGAACAAAGATTATCATGAGGAGGAAGGAAAGAACCTGAATCAATTCTTTAAATTACTGCCTGATAAACAATATTGTACAATCAATAAAATAGAATTGAAAATAGTCTCTTTGAAACCAAATCAGACAGTGTCACAGCCCACCTATTAGCTGTTGAAACTTGAAAGTAGAGAACTCAGCATAAAATGATATATAACCTGGCATATTTCTTCTACTTCGTCTTCTTCTCTGGCCCAGCCCGAGGTTTCTGGTATATCACTATCTGACTTAAGATAGTAAAATTTGTTGCGACACCAAGTACAGAACCCAGTATGACTTTCAGGAGAATTAAGGAATCCATCATAATTATCTCAGATAATTTAAAAAATAAATTTACAATATGCAAAAGTTGGGAGGGAGGACACAATTTTTTAAAATTTGGTAAACTAATGAATGAGGCATAAATAGACACAAATCTAATAAACTTGCTTCATTGGAGTACAACAAACACTCGGCAGAAACCACTATTCATGGGGTCGCAAGGGATTTTTTCAAACCTTCATAAGGCCATGTTCCCAAAAAATATTTCAGCTTAATTGGCAATTTTTTTTTTTTGGAGGGGGGTTGAAAATGGTTCTCCAGAAAGGAAACTGAGAAATTAATACGTGCAGCGAATTAGAAAGAAAGCTTTTGCCACTGGCTAGCTGGAAACATCAGTAAGGGCAGCAACTAAAGGAACAGCATTTAGATCAACAAATACAAAAATTATATGTGACCCAATCTCACCTCACTATTATCAACACCAAAAAACTGATCTTAAATGTAATGATGATGATGGCAAGGAAAGAACATAAAGATTATGACATTTACAAAGCAAGGATACCACTAGTTGGCGCATTTTCTTGGATGCTGGTAAAGACTCTGACTGCAGCAAACAAGGATAAGAACATTAATTTGCAAACATCCAAGAAGTAGATCAAATCCCATAACAATCATACAGTCTTACCCATTGAACCTCCAAAATTCATGAATGATGTTAAGAAACTGAGTTCTCCAGTGCTTTTGCTCTGCAAATAAATATTAGAGCAAAAAAGAAATATCGTAACATGACTTTTTTTTTTTTTTTAAAAGGTACATATCATATAAAACTGAGCATAAACGCATCAGTAACGTTGAAAGAAGCCTAGCCATTCATAACACTTAAGCAGTATGTAATTGGCCCAAAAAGAACAGTTGAACAGGTAAAGTGGTAATATGCATCAAAGAAAAGTGGCTTCCAGAAAGTAAATAACTTTCACTTAGTTAAACTCAGTCTTGAAGTTACTAATCATACAGACACCCTGCAAAGAAAGCATTCATTTGTTAATCTTCACAAAGAAAATTAGTTGTCATTGAAACTGCGGAGAACCCAGTATTGTTGGCCCGTACAATTGTTACAACTGATTTCATTAGTTTTATGGAAACTAGGCATTTTCCTCCATTTTAAGCGGAAACAAAAAAAGGCAATTAATGGCTCCACTTACAGAAAAGTTTTTCCATATTTGTGGAATCCTGGCAAAGAGAAAAATTGCATGCTGAGATGCCTGCAACAAATGAAATCATATAAGGAAATATGGGCATAAAAAATTGAAATAAGAAGTAGAGAACTATACAATACATGAGCGCATGACTTTCAAGTGAAAAAAATTCCAGTGCACAAGTGTTGACTACTCACATACAGAGCTTCAAAGAGAAGAGGATTGATTTGACCAGCCAAGATAGTGGGTGCTACAGCACAATATCTGAAAACCATGTATCAAGGACAAGGTCGAACATATCAATTTACCTTGCATAATGAGAAGATAAAAACTTGGTGCCTCTGTAGGCAAGTAGGATACAGTAACGCTCGGATCCATGTTTTGGTACCCATGGGTTGAGAAAAGTAGTAGATTATAGCAACCAAAACTAAAGCTGTATCAGACAAGAATAGAAGGGAGCATGTCAGATTCCATTGACAATGTCACAGAACAAGAAAGCAATTCATAACAAATAAGAGCTTTCTAAATATACATATTGGCGTATTACAAGTAACACACTAATTTCAGAGCGTCAGATCTTCCTCTAAGATTACATCATAACTACATGACAAAGTTGTGTTACATGTGTATGTATAATATCATACAGTAATGTGCAGGATCAATGGAAAAAAGGATACACGACAAATATGTGCAATTAAAAATGCAGAAAATGCTAGTACACCTTGGATTAAAAGAAACAATAGCTCCCCATAAGCTGAAAACGGAAGCCCTTTGTGAAGACAGTAGGCTAGTGCTATGGTATAGCCAACAACTTCGAGCTCGAAAGATATCATGCTAAGGCCTCTGACACTTTTATGATTCAGAATTTTTAAAATCTGCAGTTCACAAGATTAACATAACGGTATTGTAAGATGGTTGGAAATCTTGCCTAAAAAACTAGACTTGTTTAAGCAGTTCTTAGTGGCAAAATCTAATGACTACCCCAACGGCACCAAGTCAATATTTTCAACAAATAAGGACAAAAATATAATAATGCGACGAATGAAATAATTGCTCGGTACCGATATTTTAAACAGACACATCCACTAAATTACTAATGATTTACCGTTCAGGAAGCAGATCGCAATACTAACTACTGAGATAGGGTCAGCAACGTTGTTTTTACCGTCGAGTAATCATAATTAAAAGTTGTGGGCAAATATCACTGGCGAAACCCGGGTAAGAGATCCAATAAGAGGATCAGTGTGGGTTCTAGGGTTTCTAATCACTCTGAAAATCGACAACTAAGAATATAAAAAGACGGGCGTACCTGGGGAAGTTTGACGGTAGTCGAAGCGGCGACGATGGCATAGCCGAGGAGCTTGGAAATAAGAGGTAGCAAGCACTCCTTGTCTGGAAAGTGGCCATGGCGGAGAGATCCCACAGCGCAGCTCACATCAATGCCCAGATAATCCATACTCTCGCAAGCAATTCCCCTGATCAACCCAACGCTATGGCACCTACCTTGCCCTGTAAATTGCTTTGGACGACGGTTATCGAAGTGTCAAATAGTGTATCTGCCCAGTGCCAGAAAATCCATTTGCACTTTTGCAGCCCACAGAGAAGATCCCCGCCCCCCCAAAAAAAAAAAAACAAACAAACAAACAGACAGACAAACCAAGTAAATGTTGACCTTTGTGGATAGCACTTGTTTCGGTCAAAAGAAACTTTGATCCTTATAAAAATTAACTGGCCGTTGATATTAATATTAATATTAGTTTTACCCAAAAAAATTAATAGAAATATTAATTCTTCATATCCAGTAGAATACTGACTCTTGGCCGGTATTGATAATCAGAGCGACTTGAATTGCTTGCACTCCCTCCACGGCCCTTTTATCCCACATACAAAGAGAGTTAAAATGGATTAACTACTCAAATTTATCAACAAAAAATTATGGTAATACTGTTCACTTGCATCCTTCAGGTCTCACAAACCTCAAAATGAACTCTCCCACGTCTAATTGAATATTATGGTTTTTTTTTATAAAGCCATTTTAACTGCCTTTCTAATGTTGGAAAAATTTGTCAAAATCAGTTAAATGTCAAATATTTTAAAACTATATACTCTTCTTTTAAAAATATAAAGTATTTTTAATTAAATTTCACCTCCAATAAAGTAGTTAACTAATTTCAAATTAACTCTATTTTTTTTATTTATTCCTATTAAACATCCTACAATAAATATAAAGTTATTATCAATGGGGATACTTTTAAAAAAAAGTAATGTTTACACTTGAAAAAATAAAAAATATCTTACATTTTTTAACATCCAACTTCTAAAAATATATATTATATTTTTAAATGAATGGAGCATTTAATTTAATTTAATTCACTATTAAAGTTAAGAATAGAATAAAACAAGTGCATTTTTAAAAATATGCCATTGTATTTCATTGAATTTTGTAAAAAGTCACGTTTTAACAATTAATAGGTACAGTTTTATAAATATGACTTGAAAAAAAAGTACAAACAGAGATTGATTTGGGCGAAAGGATTAAATGCCTTTCAATGAGGGGGGAAAAACTAAACACTTATATCTTTGAAAAGTGGCTTTGAAATGATTGTAAAAATGCTGAGAAGAATTTTTACTCTTTTATATTTAATTAAAAAAAAGTAAAATATCAAAAAGAAAATGACAGTTAAATTTCAATTTATTTTTTTAAAAAATAAGTTATAAATATTAATTTAAAGATACTTATAAAAGTTATATTTAAGATTTAAATTTCTTTTTTGTTTTAGTGTATGTTTTTAATTTATTCTTCAAAAAATTGTCAAAAATTTAACTGCATTAATTTAAGTTTTTTAGACTTAATTATTATCCTTCCAATATTAAAATACCCTCGCTGAAGGGGAAACCCAACAGTACTGCTTCGATCATCTCAATACCAACCTGCTTTATTATGCCAAGGTAATCGATGATCTCAAGGATTCACAATAAATAAAAATAAATGAGATGCACAAGTCAATAAAAAAAAAAAAACAAATCAAACTCAGGCAGTCAAACCAGGTGAAGCAATTTGGTCCCCCTCCCCTAAAGTAGCCAGTTGGAGCATGTTTTTTTTCTCTGCTATAAAGAGTGTCAAGCCCAAAAACAACATGAAATTAAAAATCAAGAGGGGATTGAGATCTCAATGAGTAAAGCAAACCTTCAGTGAATAACATAGAAGACTGGTTCGGCTATGCGTGCTCAGTGTACTGCCCAAGCCCAAATTACGCCCAGTTACAGCTTACAAGTTCAAACCCATAACAAAAATAGCCCCACCACTTCAAATCAAATTTTTGAAAAACATGCTATTAAAAAAATTTCTGAAAAACAAGACTATGAGTCTGTAAAAATACATGTGAAAATCAATTATAAACTTAAAATTATAGTTTTCTTAACACTATTCAAGTAACCGATTAAGTTTAAACATAAACTATTATATCAAGTACAAATCGTCAAAACCAATTAAGTTAGCGGCTACTGGGTTTTTTTTTTCTTTTTCTAAAAAACCAAGGAATATACCTCAAGTTTCCAGCCTCTGCCCAGAGTCTTATCCAATCAAGCATTGGAAAATTGGTCACCCACAACAACACAGAAGAAGAGTGAAAGACGGTATGAAGATAAAGTAAAGATATTAATATTAGCATTGACCAGTATTAAAACCGTGTAACATGCCATAATTAGTAGTAAGGGAAAAAGGCTGTGAAAGCTCACATTCACATGTAGGTTTTTGGAGCTGTCCAAGGACGATGGTGATCTGATAAGTCTAGAAATAACGAAGCCTATCAGACAGGAGACTCCACCAAAAGCCAGTTCATCGAGATAAGAAACGAATGAGGTGAGAAACTGAATGACATCCCAATACAGTAGTGGTGGGCTTTCGGGCCCCACAAAACGTAGCTGTCAATCCATTTAGCCCAGCCCATCGGGCGCATCTTCATCTGCATCACCCACTACTCACTGTTTTAATTCCAAGACTTAACCTGCACCACTCTTCTTTCCTTTCCTTTCATTTCTTAACTCGAGTACTTCCCCCCATTCACACTCCCTGCATTTATCTACGTAAGTTGTTTCAAACTTAGCTAGCACGGCAATGGCAAATACTATTGTTTGAAACTAGCCTCTTTTATCATCATGCTTTCTTATTGATTCTCTCTGATCCATTTAGTTTGTGATGAACTGTGAAACCTACCAAGTTGAAGTCAGTGTCAACATTGACACTGCCATCTTCCTTCGTTACTTTTTTCTTTTTTTTTTTTCACGCTTTTATTATCCTGTACGTGTGGTGTGAATGAGATGCAGAAGATTTTATGGCCGCTGCTCATGGGAGTCCTACGTCATCCAGCTCTCACTATTTGTTGTGGGCTCTTGTCTTTTATTATGGTAATCTAATCAAATCTCCGCCCGAAACATTTTCATTAGCCAAGTAAGGGTGCCCCCAACGACCCAACAATGATAGTTAATGACTACAAATAACTAGACCAGTGATCACTTAGAAGATGCTACTTTCGTTCGTAACTGATGTCTCCTTTATTTCATTTTTAATTGTTGACGAGTGACGTTAACTTCAACAGAAATTGGCTGGGATTGCAACACACTAGTGTCTTGTCCAACTACAGCGCTTAACTTGTAATAATGTTGGATTAAGAACCGAACGGGTGGGTGTGTCCTGTAGCAGGGGGCTCCACGCAGGGAAAAAGAAGCCAATTCAAGCAACTACTAGTCATGAAGTCGATGGTCCTTTAACAGGACCACTTCAACTAGAGACAAGTATACAATACGCCCTCCTAATTACACACTAACTAGATGTTTCCCTGCCTCACAATGACAGAAGGCGCGAAACAAATAACAATTTGGTGTTCCCTTTACCGTATTATGACTAGCTCTCTTAGGTAGATTGGGGGACATTATCATATCAAGCAAGTCTGCTGGAGTCCGTTGTTTTCTTGTTCATTTTCTTTCTTGTCTGGCTTCAGCAGAATCAACTCCCACAATTAGGCACTAAATGATAGGGGGGAAAGAAGAGGAGATATAATCATATTTATGATTATTAAGATGCAAATATATGTGAATATGGAGGCCCCACTTAAAACTACTAATATCATCCTGTCTTGGACAAATCTAAATGTTGGAGCATGATCGCCTAACTTGGTGCTCAAGTGGGTACCCTCACTTAGAAAGCACTGTACCTTTTAATCAAGCTCTTCCCCTCCCATTTTACTCAGTAACTCCTGGCTGTGCTTGCCTCGGGAAAATGGAAACTGGGCTGCCCCTGCTTAATTGCCTCTTGCAGCATACTCTGAGAAGCTTGTGCTCACCTTCAGACTTTTCCACTTCTTCTAAGTGGGTATACGCTGTCTTCTGGAGGATTTTGCCCCGAAACTATCCTCCCCCAAGGTATGGAACTAATTCAGAACAAAAAACATACTGAAACTCCAAAAGAGTTCTTTGTCTGCGTAAACAAAGGAATGCTTCATTTCATGAAAAGTTGTAGCGAATTTTGACGTTGCAGACCGGTTTCTTCTGTTACAGGTGGGAATTTGGAGGAACTGATCTTGATCGATCCAAGGGAGATAAAAGAAACTGGTAATAGTCAACTAATTATGACAATCACAGGAATGGTTTCACTTCTTTTGACAGGCTAGCCAAATCCAACCGGACATGAAAAGTCATTATGGTTTTTTAATTGCTAGGAGGTGATCTTTGTAGGATCCTGGTTTGGGAAGATGGATTCTGTGATTTTAACGAATGCGAAAGAGCAAGGAGTGGGTACCTTGACGGAAAGTTTGGAGCTGACGTGTTCTTCAAAATGTCACATGAGGTCTACAGTTATGGGGAGGGGTAAGGGTTGAATACATGCCTTTGCTCCACTATCACATTTTCTTATCATAATTAATCTAGCATTTCTGCCTCTATTCTCGAAGAGCAGTCTGACAAATATTTACATGAAAGAAAAGGAACTGAAGCTTAACTCGATCATTTGACGTCTGTAATCTATGTGCAGATTGGTGGGGAGAGTGGCTGCGGACAACAGTCACAAATGGGTACACAGAGACAGTCCAAATGAGTCTGAACCTAGCTGCATCGCTTCATGGAATGCTTCAGTTGAGCCTGTAAGAGAAATTAACGTTAAACAGAAATCATTAAGATAGTTCTTCAGCTCATTCTTTCTCCTGAATATAGAAAGTTTGATATTTTATTTGCACTTACAGCGACCAAGGGCGTGGGAATATCAGTTCAATTCAGGTATTAAGGTAGGTAAAACCATTCACAGAAACACCTTGGGGATATCGAGTAGAAATAAATAACAATGTCTGCCTGGAAACTTGTTTCATTTATTCCTCTACTAGTGCATGCTAACGAAACTGCTGCTTCTGTTGGTAGACCATTGTCGTCATTGCAGTGAGAGAAGGCATAGTTCAATTGGGTTCGCTTAACAAGGTCTTGCTCTATCTCCTTTCTAATTTACTTCAAAAACTGGGTCATTAATTCATGGGGTTCTTCAGGTTGCGGAAGATTTCAGTCTAGTGATCAGCACACAGAGAAAATTCAGCTTCCTTCAGAGCGTACCCGGCGTCTTCGCTATTCAAAGACCATATCTGCCCATCCAACATCCTTACGTCCTCAAACCTAACATCCAGACGATGGAAAGCAATGAAACGGTTCTCTCTCTGTACAATATGAATCAAGTAATTGGAGCGAAAAGGCTCATTGACGAAACACCAAACTACGCTTCCAGGAAATCTACCAACTTGGGCTGGAATTCACCACAGGACGGAGCAGCAGGGCCACCCATGTGGCCACTGCCTCCTCCCCTGCCCTCGGTGCCTAAGAATTCCTCTGTAGTTCCTTCCTATAATTATATTACACTTCTTCATGACGCTAGGATTAATGGCCCAGGCCACAGAGTGAAGGTTGAAGAGTGCGCATTTCGCTACACTAACGGAGGTGATCAGAACGGTTCCTTCACTTCTGATCTAGAGTAGCAAGACAGAGTGGCAGCGGAGTTGGTATTTGAGTCGAAAATGACCTCATCAAAGGCTCTTAATTGTTTGTCCCGGTACCTGGCTTTTGCGTTTAGGTGGTTTATCTATGTGTCTTCAGACATTCCATCATAGCGATGCCTTGTTAGCTTCCATCTGTGAATGTGTGTGAGTATTATCTGTTGCTTCTTGCAATATAATCTGTGTACAAATTTTCGCCCATCTTTTTTCGCGGAGAAAATATTCGGTGCTGCCTTCAAGCTAATAATTTGAAACAGAATTTTCTTTTCTTTTTCCTCTTAATTAAAGGGAGGAGGGGCGCATGGTTGGGAATTTAGGAAAGCTTTACAATTACAGGTGAAATCCAAAAATCTCAAAAAACTTGTTAATGCCCAAGTAAGGTAATTATCATGGATTCAATGAATTATGATCGCGAAGAGATATTGGCTCAAAGAAAATCTTCTTCGAGCACGAGCTGGCTGGCATGGTGGGGCTGGACACCATGATCCATCACTCTGAAAAGGGGGGCGTCCGTCATGTGGGCTGGGTGACGAAAACGAAATGAAACGAACATAATTGAATTCTGAATCAAGTTGTCTGGGGCGACAATTAGTTCTTCGCCCCTCCCTGGTCCCCCAACACAACTACCATGTTTCTAAGACAACCGGAGCATAAGAATAGGTATTCTTGTGCGCCCACTTCCTTAATTTCAAACTCCATTAAGAATTTAAGATATCATTTGAAAGAAACGACGTGATTCTTGTTCACCTATTCTATATTTAAATTTGTCTTTTAGCGCTTGACGTTATCTGCAGTCCACTTTCTCATCTAACTTGGCACTGTTTGTCTTCAGGAATAAAAATAATTGAAGAGACTCCTCTCCAGCCATATCAAGTAAAGAGACATAGAAATGAGTTTTACATGGTTAAATAAGAACTGGAAGAGCATTTGATTTTCAGCATCGGGATCACTCATCCAAGCGTTTAGTGAGGTCGAAAATGAAAGAATAAAATGAGAAGGAGAGGAAACAAGTAATTCTTCATCTCCTTGTCTCTACCCTTCGTCTAAAATACTACGTACACAATTCAGGGCATCTAAATTCCTATTCATCCACATGCAGACCACTGAACAAAAGATATCTGCAAACAACGTAATATTAGCCAATATCTTCTTCCACATTATTTCCTTCCTCGATTAAGGGGGGCATAACAATTGAGTCGCTTGCTAAATTGACGGCACAATTAAACCTGAGAAGGTTGAGGCTTTCTTTCGTTGAAACTTATACGACGCTATAGCCTATAACCAGAGAAAAAAATAGGATATGAGCAGAAAAGAAATTCATCCACCATCGGTACTTGATCACAGAATCTACTTAAGTTCGAAAGTCACGACAACCAATATGTTTGTTGGAAAGCAATGCAACTCGTAAATAGAACGCTATTTACACCAGGAAGTTACATCCTGAAATTTGACAAAGCATTCATCAATTGGTATCTAAATGTCCGAAATGACCGTCTAATGGGCAGTATGATGAATCTAAAGGAAAAGAATATGTAATACGCTCCTCCATCCTCCTTTGACTAGGTCATCCACTCCTTCATCATTCATCCGTTGGCTCAAGCAGTGCTTGTCTTGCTCTTCTTTCTATATGCCCAATAGGGTTTAGCTGGAGTGCGCTTCATCGCCTTCACCCCAAACGGGTTGTCCTTGCTCTGCAGTACAGAGAATGTCAGTTAAGATATATATCATCAACGTGAACAAAAAGAATCCAGTAGTAGCCAATAATAATTACGACTGAAGAACTTTCGGTTGTGTTACCATAAGACAGGT